GACTACAACTTTAGAACAGTTAATGTATTATCTTAAAATGCCACTACAAATTTTATCGCTACTTTTGTACACCCAAAACTCTGTCATTCTAAATTCATTCTAAATATTTAAAAATTTTAAAATGTATAAATGATCATAAGCGGCAACAAATGTGAAACTCTGACTACCTTTTTCCCGTAGTTAATTTATCTTCGTGTTATTTATATATGATTTATATTAATTATATTAAGATGTGAACTAAAACAGATTCACAAGTATGCTATACAATATCTTAAATGAAAAAGTTCTCTTGTAAAAAAAAATCTAAGCTCGCTTATTATTTACCTTCATATTTAAGCCCTATGTTGTATCGAGTTATATGGAACTCAAATATCAAACTACTTTAAATTTATTACCTCTAGCAAGTTATTACGTTTATGTGAAGAGGTGTATTGAAGATCTTATCACTCGGTTTGATTTGGTTCGATTCGGATCCTTTTATTTTACTTATCTTAATTTTTGATGATTTGATTAAATTTAATTTTATAGATCTTAAATTATATATCATTTATTCCTCTATTTTTTAGTATATTTTATCTTAATTTTTTAAAGATAAAACTAATAATGATTCTTATAACTATAATAATTGACTAACTTACGTTTGCATAACAGAATCGTATGTAGGTAAAGATTAAGCTTCTGAGAGGAGAAAGATTATGAAGTTGACTTCGAAACCCCGATTTTTGTTTGACACATTTCGGCTTGCTTTAGCTGACTTAAATAATCCATAGCATATATTATACTACCTATTTATATTAAAAGAAAGCAATGAAGAATCACTATGACGATGGAGACATTAAAAAATCTTTACACTTGAAAAACCAAAACATTATGTTACCTGATATAGTAAAGAATTTATAGGATATATCTTTAATTTATTGTTAAGACCTTTTAAAAAAATCTATTAATATTAAAAGTTCTATAAAGGAAAACTTTGTATTGGTTTCTTTTCTGTTATAAAATGATTAGAGAGCTAAGAGGGTAATTAAAAGTAAATGTAGTATGCTACTTTCCTTATAACTTAATATTCATTCTCAAGCGACATAAAATTTAAAATTATACATTACTATTCTTTCAAAAAGGACATAATTTTTCGTTTTTAATATTCTCGAGAATTTTCACACTTGCTATAGGTAAATCTGATAGCTAGATATAATAATAACATTTGTATCCAAAAAGAATTGCCAACATCAAACGACTCAAATATTGAACGAAGCTCTGAGCGAAGTAGTTTGAGTTGTAACAATTTTATTTCTTGGTAAAATTGAACACGTATGAATAGCTGAAACATGTTTTCAGCTGTACAAGGTTCTCACCAAACGCTATTGTTTCGATGAAGGTTAAAGTTTCTACCTATTCTATTCCCTTTAAATGAAAATGAGATCGACAACTGGTTCATAAAGATATCGTATATCACATCTATAATTCAATTAATTATATATAATATTTTTATTTTAATATAAAATTAGGCGGTAACATTACTGCATATTCCATATACATAGAAGACTTGAATATGAATATTTTTTTATAATTGATTTAGAGTACCTACTAATTTCCTAAAAACGTAAATACGTTAATCGAAATATTTTTTTGTACATTTTGGATACCGATGAAGTTTTTAGGGTTTTAACGTTATTGTATGCATTAAGATGATCTAAGTAATTGTATGGGGTGCGTCTGCCTGTACCTGTATTAATTAAAATATGATATAAACTATTTATATAAAAATAAATTATCTGACTACTTTAGTTACACAAAATAAAATTGTAAATGCATGTTAAAAATGACAAAACATATAGGAGTGCGAATTTGTACAATTAATACCTAACACATTAATTATGACAGTTGTAAAAGGAGTCAAGCAAAACCATTTAAAATATAAGTTTGGTAAGTCACGTAAAAGTGACAAAAAAATTGGTATCATCGCATTCGCCAGGTCCAGGAAAAGTCGAGTAACTTTAATTTTAATCTTCTTACCTTGAGACATCTTCATGTTACTTCATTAAAACATCTTCGCTGTTTCTCAAGCAACTTATTCCTTGATATACTTATTATTAAGGAGAAAGTAAATGTATCAAATGTACGATTTTTCTTTTTTAATTTAGTCAATCACTAAATTTACTTTAAAATGACGTAGAGAGACACTAGATACACCTTTTCTACAGAGAAGACATGTAGTCTTGTGTTATCTTTATTCTGATGATCCGTCCCTTGTAGTTGGTATATCTTATAGATTCAACAATCAATAAATACCAACAATCTTTGTAATTAAAGAATGTATGTATGAGGACCTGTATGAGAAGAAAATCCAGATTAAGTTTTTAAGGACTTTTAAGGGACGCTCGATTTCTAGATACCAGTCAAAGAAAAAGGTTCTCGTTATTTTTCAAGTGTTAATAACAGCTGCTTTTACCATATCTTCACTTCTATTCAACACCAAACAGGGCATCTATTTGATGTGTTAATAGTTGTTCAACTTTTGTAATCATTTCTTCACAATATCAATTACAAAAAAACACTTTAAAACTTTACATTGCATATCTTTTCGTGTGTACCAGAATTCCCCTGAATGAAAATCTGTAAATTTTTGCAAAAATTAAAATTTCATTGTTTATATTTTAATACTATTAGTTGATTTTAAGCAAACATCCTTGGTTTCGTAAGTACTATTGAAAATATTACCAATATAATTAATATACATATATTCTAATTTTATACAAAAAAGTTATCAGTCAGAATTTGAACTCAGTGTCGTATGAGTTTTTAAAGTCTTATTACAATTGTTTTCAATAACACACATATTTTTTACATTCATTCCAAACCTTATCTTTATAACTAAAGTGCAAAAAGCTATGATGCATTTTTTTTTATTTGAGGCATTTTTAAATAAACGACGTTTAGTAATAAAATATCATTATAGTTGAACAAAACTAACTTGTGAGTAAGGTAATATTCAATTATCTTCTTACTGGATGTATCTGGGAGTATATTAGTCACGTACTTAGCTTGATATAGAAAATCGAAATATCACATGAATAAAATATTTTGTTGCGAAAGTTTATCTTGACTGTTCTCAGACCGTTTTAAGTAAAACAAAAGTTTATCCTCTTATTTTTAGATTTTTCTTTTGTATAATTCTTATTTTTTATGTAAATTGTAATCTATGTCGCTTAATTTTATGTCATTTATCATTCTTTCATTTGATAGTGTAACAACTTTAGCTTTAAAAGTTTTTGTACGAGGTAATGTGTATGGTGATAATGAAATATAAAAATAATAGGTAATTCAAAAGCTATAGTTATCTTTAGACATGACTAATGATTACAATATGTCCAGTAAATAGTGAGGCTGTTCTAATCACAAACACGTGTCGTCAATCAAATATTCGAAGGCCACAAATTATGGAAAATTGATATGTGACGGACGTACAACTACAATTAATTGGTGGTGAACACAACATGCTATTTAATTGCAACTGATACAAATCAATTGGAAACACAAAGTTGTCATATAATAAATTCCGTTAATGCTTTTGTAAATACATTAAACAAGTATAGTTAAAAATAGTTTTGATACACTATCAAATTGTTTTATAATTATTATGTGATGGCTTGTTATATATATATATATATATATATATATATATATATATATATATATATATATATATATATATATATATATATATATATAAACAGACGATATTCACATGAATTTTATAATTAACTTTTAAATGATCGTGTAACTGTTACGTTTTATCAATTGAACATTTCAGAGAATCCTTAATTCGTCGAGTATATAAATGTTAACAATATTTTTCGTATATAAAAGCTAACCTAAAAGGATTTTCTGCACAGGGTATGTAATTCGAAAAATAAATAAAGTTTTAGTTATCACAGCTCCCTACATTATATTCTGTGTATAGGATAGTGACACGATTATTTGAGTGCCATATGACCTTACGATAATACTTGCGGGACGAAATCATCCTATTGTTAAAATTATTTAATTGTTTCATGACTTCCTTTAACTGTATACAAGGTGTGTTAATAAATTTATAAGTAATAATAATTTATAAGTAAGTGTTATTATTATAACATGTTTCCAATAGACTAAAATACTTTTTTATGTTTTGGTATTAAACATTTAAAAAAACTGAAATACTTTTTGTTGCTGTATGTACATATTTTTAATAAAATTCCATTTTAAATCTAATTAAGAACAGATGAATATTTAATATTTAGGTATTAAATACTAGGATTTACAGGTTGAAAATTATAGAGGACAAAGGATAGGACCAAAATGTGCCATACATTCCATCGCAATTTCGCCGTTGTAACATAACTTTAGGAACCCTTTTTATGTCGTATTTCTTTCATTTGGGGTAAAAATTATAAAATTGTTTTATATATTTAAAACCTTATAATACCGAATTATTCTTGTAATTTGGAATAAATTTGTATTGAGATAAAAAAGAACTAAATGTTGAATAGTGATATCTGTCTTGTTATTAAAACCTATACTAAGACGAAATTCTCAGGAATTGTGCTTATAAAGTGGTTATAATCCACATTCCACATCACAGATTATTCTTATATTCTTATATATCTTAAGCACAAGTTAGTTATCGAATACACCATTACGTAAGATACTACGATAAAACATACCTATAAATGCATTGCATTTATGTTGCCATATTGAATTTATGAATAGACAATAGAATTCATCACTGTTAATATGAAAAAAATGCCGTATATTAATCTACACAATTCTATTTATTGCTAACAAATATTTTTATTTACCAGGCACCAACGTCTGTCAATAGTTGAAGATAATTTCTGACCTATGTATGAACTTGATTTATATATTTGCATTGTCATAATCATCTTGTATATAAAAGTAACGTATTCTACAGGGACCGATTTATTTTAGTGCCATTCTGCTTCAATTGACTGACCAAAATGGTGTACTTAAGTGTATCTTTGTTACTCTTTTTCTTTGCGAGTGCGTTTTCTGGTGGAGGCAAGTAATTTATTTAAATCAGATACTTAAATAAGTATTTACCATATACAGTAAAAATTAACTTTTTTCAATTTAAAATTATTAATTCATAAATAATAAAAAAAATAGAGGTAGGATTTTTATCTTTATATCAACGAGAATGTTTTAGAATTCAATGCAACATGCACTAATTTTGTAGTTTTGATTTGATACATATCAAATATCAGTATGGCCAATGTGAATTCCTATAGTAAAGTACCTAATCTATTTATCTAAGCATCAAAGTTTTAATTAAATTTACGAGTACAACCATTTTTGGTATTATTACAATAATCAAATTATTACATGTAGCATGACTCTCATAAAAGTTTTGTTTAAATCAAACAATAATTTGGCAGTTAATCTAATGTTTACACGCACTTTGACTTTCGATAAACGAGATCCGGGATTATTTTGGGTAAGAGAATGGAAAGTTTTATAATTAACAAATAAATAAACTAAAAATATATTTGCTAAAAGGCAAATTAACTTTTTTCAATAATAAGTGTTGGAGGAATTCAAGTCAACAATGTACTAATTTATTATGTAATAAGTAAAGGAATAATAAAACTGCTTAAAATACAATGATGTATGCAAAATAATTAAAAAAATTAAGTAAAGGTTTTATAGCAAAGTTTATAAACAACTTTATCAAATTATTAAGAGTTTCTAGCAATTATAAACACAAACTTCATCAATACAAGTCTTTAATGCCCATGGATACTAAAAATTAATTATATTGTGAATAAAAAATTAACAGTTTTTATTTACAAGTTCAAAATAATTTTTTACCTTTTCATTTCTCATTTTTATTTTATTTATAACTCTATTTAACCAGATAACGGGCACTATGTAAATATTTTAACCACTGAAAAATTCGCTGTCAAAAAATTCAAACAATTTACTTGTTTTGTTTCGGGAGTGCTTACTTATATTGTTATTTGTTATATAATACCTGTATTCAAAATTTTACACCAGTATGTTAAAACATATGTAATTTTAAACGAATTCACAATTTTGGATGTCATATGACGTTTAATTCGTAATGATATTTACGTGCAATAAATTCCTGATGCTTTAAAACTATGGTGCAAGCTTGCGGCAAAACTGGAATTATTGTATTTTTCTTTTTGTCCTTGCAAAATATTTTTTATTCAACCTTTATCTCCTTACAGAAACTACTTGTTATTTGAACGTAACTCGGTATCATTTTAACAATTTGACTTGATTCTGGAGTGTTTTAATATTTTAATAAATAATATCAACTTGCTATTAAGAAAAATATATTGTAAATAGCTATATAAAGGCTTTAAAAATTAAAAATATATTTCACGGATTAAATGGGTAACATTTAATTGATAACGTTGGTTATAATAATCTTCTTACTGTTAAATAAAAAGTGTTAAATCCAGATAAATATATTTCAAGAATGAATTGTAAACTTAACCTAATTTTAGTCTCTTTCAAAACTAAAGTCTATTAAATAAATAATATTTATTTAAAATTAATAACTTAAATATCAACATTAGGTATATGTTTAATTAAGTAAAAATTCTTAATAGTTTAATAATTTATTTCAGCGGATCTGCTCACACCCTGTGACGTTCATGATACCAATTGCTTAAGTAAAACAACACAAGAATTTTTGGAGAAAACGAGTGCGGGGATACCAAATTATGACATCAAGCGGTTGGATCCACTCGTCATACCAAAATTGGAAATAAAATTCTCTGAAAAATCAGACACAGTACTACATTTTAAGGATCTAACGGTTACAGGATTGAAGGGTCAACAATTTTCTGGATTTAAGTAAGAAAAAACAATATTTTTAATAAACAAAAGTAGAAAAAATCGTACGAATCCAAATTACTTAGTTGTCCTCTAAAGAACTTACAAAGAAATAGAGTGTAAAATGTATGAGTAATCCTCCTTGTTATTCAAATTGAAAGTTGTCTTGGCTCATCACAATGGCCTTGAAGATTTTTATATGTAATATTGCAATCTCATATTTGTAATAGATAGTAATATTCATTTGCTATCATTACAAAAATGACTGTAAGTTCTATTTTTTATGACAATAATTTTTCTTTGCAGATTTGATATGTTTAAAATTTATTATTGTTGGTTTTTCCCACGACCCAAACTATGACTTGAAAACCTACCTTATTCATCATTATATTTTAATTGGCAACTTTTCAGAATGGATACAACAGCCAAAACAGTAGAGTTGCAGACGAAAGCTGATTTGGAAATTGTTGGAGACATAACATTAGAAATGAGAAAAAAGTCCTACACTGGTTCATATGCAGCTAAAGGAAGTAAGAAGAAATTAAAGTATTGTGAAACTTTAATTAGAATATCTTAAGTATTAACTGCCAAGCACTTGCACTAATTCTACGTATAAGTAATTGAAAATCTCTGTTTTGTTTACTAAAATCCGGAAACGCCGACTGAGGTTCATCCTGTCAAGCCGGACAATATACGATTAGTCTTTGTCTCAAAATTCAACGTTTCTAAAACGTTCTTGAATCATTTTGCTTAAGAAACTCCAAATTTAAAACTTAATACACATATTCGGTTGAAACATTCCATAGGTATATATATATATTTAAAAACTTAAAATTTATCAAAATATATTATATAAAAAATTTAATGTACAACAAAATAACTATAGGATAAAATATTACGTTTAAATGTTATTTTTATAAAAAAAGTGGTATATTAATGTTCATAATATATGAAGATGAATGTAAAAATATCTCACCTGCTCAAAATATACAGTTATCAATTCTTCAATATCTTTCGTAAGATGTATAATAAACCAAAAATATAACAATAACTACAATACGCTACAAAAAGTACCGCTGTATTTTTATCGTTCACAAAATGTTAGTCATATAATTTTTCTTACACATTATATGTTCAGTGAGAAATAAGTTCCATTAATATCTTATGTTCTGCAGCTGCGCTGGGAACAGCGAAATATGACTATGCTTTCAAAACTGATGACAAAGGAGTAGAACATTACGAAATTGGAACGGAAACTAATGAATGTCAAACTTTGATTGAACCACAAGTTACTTATGGTCAAGAACTAATCCAGGCATTAGAAAAAGGTACGAAAACTCTTCTTGCGTTATATCGCGATGGAAAGACGAGCGCTCCAGGGAGTATAGGAATATAAAAAGAAAAAATGGGATTGGAATAAAAGTGAAAGGAGATTGGTGGAACTAGAAGAAAACGCCGCTATATGTATTAATTTTCTTCTTAATTTATTCGAAGTACTTTTAAAAATTTATATATTTTTTTCCTCCCACTAACTTCCAATGACAGTCATCTAATCTCTTCTTTAATTAAAATTAATAGACCTTTGTATTTTTCGATGAAGTTTATTTCTCTATTAATTGAATAATCGGATAAGTTTTAGTGTCTCACAAATTGTTAAGATCAGAGAAAACGACTTTGTCGTGCCTTTCAACAAATTCGCAAAACGACTTCAAGGTTCTATTAATATTATAAATCATCTTTCACGAGAGTGAATTCTCAATATTGGAGTGCTTATAAATTATAAATAGATATAAGAGTGTAAATCCGTCTTTAAAGATATTTTTTTATCTCGTCTATCAAAACATAATATCACCTCTTTATCATCTTCCAGATAAAGACCTTCAAGGGAGAAAACAACGTTATTATGCCAATCAAAAGGACATAGAACAAAGAATTTTCTGTGAAATTGTTTCTCACGCCTACAAAACCGTTGTTCATAATATAAGAGCAGCAGCGAAAATACTGCCTAAAAGCGCTTTTCTGAAAGGAGTTTGATAATTTAATCTGTTATTACGCCTTATTGCCACTGAAGTGAAATCAATAAATTGAATAAGCAAACATACCAAATAGACGGTGAATCAATCACAAATCATTTTGTTTTGGTACAATATTGTAAGTATTATATATGCTCTATTAAAATGTATTATTTAAAAATAAAAAATATATAAATCATGAGTAGTAAGCTTACCTAATATTCCTTTATTCATCCCTCGTAAGATATTTATACTTCCATTTTCAATACATATTATTTTTATTACAAATATTGTCCGAAACATAAAAACGTTTGAGAAACATAAATGTATTAATGTTTAAATAGATTAGGGGGTTAGTGATTGAAATTAAGAGGTCACATTATCAGATCGTACAACTAAAAACATCTCACAAATAATTACTTTGCCCCAGCGATAATATGAAAGTAAACTTTAATTCAACAAACACACATATCAATAAACAGTTACGATAAGAAACACGAGTTCCATATAAAATTATGTTTCCTACGAAAATGTCTTAACTATTTCATTAGATTATTAGTTCATAATAAATAGAAATAAACAGAAAACTGGTATAGAGTAAAATAATTACAATTAAAAAAATATATAAAGATTAAAATCACGGCTACATTAAAACCTGAAAATAAATGTTGTAAATGACGTGAACTTCGCTAATAAAGTTCAGGAAATGAATTCTCTGTGAGCCGGACGCTGATGTGTATATAACCTAACATGTAACTACTAAGACAGGAAAAAGGGAATGTTGTTGGTCGCTACGTTAGATGATAAACTATGAACAGACTTATATTTAACTTTTCACCAAATATATTTAATTTGCATACGAACTTGGAATCCTGAATACAAGTGTCCGCTTTTGTTAGTTAGTGTTTGTTTGGCTTAAAAACGTGGAATAAAAATTATATTTCTATTTAATTCCATTGCAAAAACACCATGTCGGAAGATGAACATTATTTTATCTCTAATGGTAAGTATAAATAGAAAATATGGATATGCCTTTAATATTTTTAATACAATATATGTAGAAACACAAGATCTGAAGGCCAAAATAGGAATACTTTGCTAAAATTTGCATTTTATCTTTGTGTAGCAATAGTGTAGGAGAATAAATTAAGACATATTGATGTCATAATCTTTTTTTTAACCCACATCATTTTTTAAACAATAATCGTTAAATTTAAATGTTTGGCATAAATATTATTATAACTACCTTTTTTGAATCACAGCTAATATATGAAAAAATAATACATCATTCTCCTTAGACTTTTAAAGAAACTATAAAAAGCAACTATAATCAATTGTAGTCTCGTTGCCTCATTTATCTTCACCTTCCCAATTTCCAAAGTTGTTTTCTGCTCCAAGTTCTGTTTCACCTGCAAGCACCTTAATTTACAACTGCCAACTGCATATTCATTTAGTTTCCTTGAAGGCTCAAAATTCTCTGCCAAAAGATTGACAATGATATATTTTGAGTTGCATTTGTTTTGTAACAATGTTCTTATAACGTTATGTAACCTCTCCATCCATCCATTTGTAAATATTTCTAGGCTTTAGCTCGATGTTATTATAAAAGACAATGAATAAGTTTCTATTTTAAAACACTTTTTTAGTTTGTACATTATACATTCTTACTGAGAAAGATAATAATAATTATTGTTTTTCAATGTCTATATTTAATTATTAAGTAATAACACTGAAAACATTTGAAGTGAACCACGAAACATGACATAAATCTAATATTTTCTTTTAATGTATAACAAAATTAATAAAATCTAAATTTATTCGCTCGTAAGTAAATTATCATAGGAAACAACAATTATTATGTCCATTTGATTCAATAAAATATATAAAGTTTGTTTTCTTCTATTGAAAATAAAATATGTCACCTTAATTTAACTACATATCGCAGCTTCAACTAAACATTCATTACTAAGCTCTTAATCCACTTATAACTGTTTCGCATTAAGTCTGATAAATAGATCTTAATTCGGTTAGTTCTAAAGTCTACTTAACACGAAATTTCTGCCTTTGTGTTTAATATATATATAAAATATGCAATATTGTTAGGATATTTCAATATAATACAATAATTATAAAGTTTTAAATTCATTACAGTAAATAATTATAACGTTCGTTTTAACTTCCTAACTTTTTTCTTGTCGGCATCTAATTTAAAAAGTATAAATCTTTCAGCCAGCACTCAATATTTAAACAAGTGCCTAAAAATGAAATGGCAATCTTCGGACTACTTTGTCCTTTTAATGAAAAACCGTTTAGAGATGCTTTGTACAAAATGCTTTCAGTATTTACTTTAGCAGTAATGACAAATATTTTTCGCAATTGACCGAGGTAGTCTATAGAAATCTGAGGCTTATCGCAGACGATAAATTCTATAGACTCAGAAGTTTTTTACATTTTTGGATGTCATTTTTTCAAAAAGTAATAGCAATATTGTTAACTGTAGCTAATAACTTACAGGAAATTATTAGTTACTTTGGTTTAAAAATCTTAACTTTTTTATTATACTAGAGAAAACTTTGAATCAATTACTTTTTAATTTAAATATAATATGACAGTGTAATAACTATATGGTAGTTATGAACATATTTACCAAATACATACATACTATGAAGAACCAATGTTAAACATAAAGAAAATTTTATTTAATATAACTTTTATCCACCTAATTAAACAATGTATTCAATATTCTTACAGTGAGTTCATTATAATTTTACAAGCCATAATATCTCGATAAATTTGCAATTTAAGAGGCCACAGGGAATATTTAGAACAAATAATTAAAACAAAATGACATCTTTTTACCTAAAAAACCTTAATTACCTGACCTAATTACCTTAGTATATTTAAAATAAATAGAAGACACATTGTAAAAGGTATATGAAATCTATAGATACACCTAAAGACAAATAAACCTGGAATATTTTATTGCCAGTCGTTAAGACATGCTATTCCATTGTTCGTTGTAGGTGAGCAGTCACGTTGATTATTGTTTGATAACACATTAAATATTAAAAATAATGGAAACGTCTTCATATTACTTGCTAATTTTTAGTCATACAGAATCAGTTAAGATAAATGATTGTAATATAGTGTGCAAAATAAAACTAAACAAAAACATAGCGTAACGGTAAAACCCTTAGCGTCAAGGGACCCAAAGTTACACCCAACAAATTACGGAATACTCACACATAAAATACTTTTAACTCTTTCTTTTTGAAAAAAAACTAAGGTCAGTATGTATAAAAGTGGTGCGGACAACCGGTCCTTTTTCTTGATTCATATTTAGTGTCGGCGAGATGTTACTCAATTGGGTACGAATTTTGATCTGTGTTTGTGTATTCAGTTTCACACTATTTTGCGATGGTCAGGTTCTGAACTTCCGAAATTTTGACATACGTGAGTATTAATTTATATGTATTATAATTTTTAAATGTTCTTTCAATTTAAATTATATTATACACACGGTTGTTAAAAGATAACATTTCATCATCATTCATTCGCTGCTTTGTTCATTCAATTCTTGAGTATTATAGAATTAAATATGAAAAACATCAATTATTAGTGTAACTTGAAATAAAAAACAAAAATTGCATGAATTTTGCATTAATAATTAACCTATTTAAATAGCATTTCTTTTTTTATCCATTCAATTAGTAATTAAATGTAATAAACGAACCCTTGAACTTAATAAAATATACGAAAATAAAAATTAAATCGCAAACTATATTTTAAAACAGTAAGAGGAATTTACCTTGTACCAAATGAGTGACCGAAAATGTTCATATTTTATTTTAATTAGCAATTCCACTGCGATACATAACAGTTGGTAATTAAAATCATATTTTACATACGGTAGGTCATCTGTAGATAATTAGTACTAAATGCTAAGTAGTGCGAGTGTGCCATAACTTAATGTCAAAAACATGGTATCAACAATTCAATACGTTGCACGAAATGATTATGATTAAGTACCTCTATATCTGATTAGTCGGATAACAATAATATGTCAGTACAGTTGGTCTCTTCAAGATAAATGCTACAACGAATCTTAAAAATGTTTGCAACATTATTTTAATATTGCTGATTACACCGCTATCTTATAATTAATTTAAAGTTGTAGATTAGTCACGGTTTAAAATTATTTGCATTACTGCCTGTGTTCTTGGACATGAATTTTGTCATTGTGAAATAATTGTGCCGACAATGAAGTCACACGTTGTTAATTTAAAATGACTTAAAAATATATAGTTTACTCAACATAATGCTTTCAAAAATATTTGAAATACGTCTTTAATTAAAATTTAAGCCTTCAAAAATTTTCTACAACATTAAAAATATGTTTAAGAACCATTATGAATAAAAATTACCGATTCTCCGTTCAAAACAGATCAAAAATACAAGCAGCATATGTAATTGTATTTCTCCTTTGATGTATCGTTGCTTATTTGGTCAACAAAATCCCTCGAAGTTTATTTATTTCTAAAATTTGTTTGGTCGTGTAGTCGATTTGCCCGAAAACAAAGACAAAAGCCAATTTGAATTAGTTTTTTGTACAGTACGTTTATTGAAAAATCTAGTGTACAGACTTTATAGTAACATGCTAAAATAAAGTTATCTACTATATAACTCCTTTTGAATTTAAATTTTTATATCTGGTACGTTATTTAGTTTTATAAATCAAGGTTTATGCAGATGTTCTTTATGATCTAAGTATTTATGTAAATAGGGCCTTTCACTATTTTGTTCTCTAAAACTGTTATGACCTTATTACATACTCACAAAGGCAAGACCCACGATTTTTTTAGGAAAATACTACTTCTTAGAAAAGAGTACAGTATTAACTTCATAAGAAACTTCAAGTTGATAAACAGGCATAAATTAAAGAACAAATAATTAAACTTTGATCAATCGTTTCTTAATAATTAATAGTATTCTATCCTCTTCTTCATCTAAGTAATTTTCCGGTACGTCATTATATCGTTATAATCTATCCTTATAAGGCATCCTTCGAGAAATAAATACTAACATTTTATAAATTCATTTCTGCGGATGAATCCTTAACAGAGTAATTCAAATGAGATACCGAAAAATGTAGGTATGTTTTCGTTATTCTTTTTATAAGATATTTACAGAACCAAATCAAAATATTCTTAAATAATAAATTTCACGTTAAGTAGCATGTTTTAGGTAAATTAATTAGATCATATACTCTAATTATAAAACAAATATTTTTGAAAGGAATCTAGTTTTAACCAGCAGACACTTCAGTTCCTACCAACTCGAACAATTTCCTCTTATAATTGAAAAAGTTCCACAAACAAAAAAGTTTGGAATGTGAACTGTAAAAGAATTCTCGTCCAAGTTAAACTTTATATGTATATATATGTATTTGTAAACTACTTGTTATGGTATATATATTATAGTAGTGAATGTACAACTAAATTAGGTATATAAAATATTTCATGAAGCTTTATTCTAAACAACAACAAAATTAAATTTCAGAAATTGTGTGACTTAATAAAAGTGTGTACATACATCATTACAAAACGTACCTCTATATTTATACATGGAGCTTCGAGCACAACAAATCTCTAGCGAAATTTAAATTTCAGAAATATTTTGAATAACTTAAGAGAGGAACCCGTGCGACGCGATACATAACTTTGCTTGAATTTTCAATGTAAATAAATTTCTTTTCTAGTCTCTTTTTTTGCTGTAGCGTAATTGTTTCCTGCCCTACTTAAAATTCTTAAACTAAATCAGTCGCACAAATCTTTAAACTTTATATTCAGTCAAAGTTATTCGAGTAAAAATTTAAATGTCAGCTTTGCAATCTTTATGAATTGTATTGTCATATTTAAACTTTTATTGTTTAGTGACCAACCAAGAAGTATAGATCCAGATTTTTCACTTTCAGCCACCAGCACTCCCTTGCCCTTTCCAGCGTGTCGAGCAGACAACATAGAATGTCTTCGTCGGGGTCTAAGAACATTTTTCTTCTTAATGGACTCCGAATATCTAGGGATGAACACTGTGGACCCTATTATCTTAAACAGCCTTACAGTAGCGCTACCTGAAGAGCAACTATCATTTTTAATGAGACGTATCAATGTTACCGGAGCCAGGTGGACTAAACTCCTTGAAAGGAAGTATGTTTCACAAATAAAATTTGATAGATCTTTCTTTGTGAAGAGTAAATTTCGGATCCAAGTAAATGTTAAGCTTCCATTACGTACCTATTTAATTATATACCACTATATGGAATAAGTGGTGTATCAATGAGACGTAAATTTTTATTATTGATTATTATTTAAAAGTATTTCATAATCTTTAAATGTGTATATTTTAGATTCAATCTGCCCGGGGGAAAGAACGGCGTGAGATTTCTGAGCGATCTTCACGTTACTGGAGAAATAACGATGACAACAGCAGCAAGACTAGAGCCTTTCTTGGCTCTCATTACAATGGATATTCGTAAGTTACTCATATGAATTTAAATACATATACTTATCGGTTTATAAAGAAATATAAATAACGGTATATTTTTTTTATAATTTACGAACCATTTTCAAATAAGAAATATCTCTAAAAAGCACTTTACTTTTATGAAAAATATATTTGTCATAGCTTTGAATAAGTGCACAATAGCAATTGAAATAGTTTTTATGTTGACTGTTTCCAAATAAAGATTTTTTTTCATACTAATATTGTAAAGAGAAAGGTTTTTATTGTAATGGACAACTCTATACGTACTCAACCGATTTTAAAAATTCTTTGTTCATGAATGTAGCGTACATTAGTAGGTCAGTTTAGCTGTTATTATATATAAAAAAACTAGCTAGGCTTTCGACTTCGTTCTCGCGGAATACTTTTTTTTATTACTTATATTCATAAATAATATCAGTCAAAATACCCTAAATTACTTTTTGTTACATCACGTATGGGCTAGAAAAAGGTAGGTCACAATCGTTCTAGCTTCTTCGATCACTAGTCTAGTCTAGTTCTGGTCACAATGATACTTTTAAAGTTTAGCGGGAAGAAATAGACAGTCTGATAAAAGCACTTAAAAATGTAATTTTTTTATATGTACCGTGTATACATTTATATACAATACATATGCATACATAAAACAAATACCCTAATATTATTTGTTTGTGTAAGATAAACAGGCACTACGAAATACAGCTTCCATATTTTGAATATCCTGTTGGAAATGTCACTTTTAGTTTACGGCTATCCATAGTTTTAAAAAAAATTAACACTGTATTTTTCATATTATACACGTTACGTGAAATATTTTGCAACCGTTAGAAGATTTCGTTAAACCGTGTATCAATTTTAGATAATAATTATTGAAGGTATGTTATTTTGTTTTGAACATCACGACCTATTAATGGCTTGGTATTACACATTCCATTTCGTGTTCACACGGTTAAGAATTATACATACATGTATCCCAAGTACTACGATAAATCCAATTAGACCTTAAGAGCGGTTTCAATGAACTGGTTTAACTAGTCATTGTCTTCATGGTACCCTGCAATAATTACACTTCCTTGATATTGGTTTGCAAGGACGTCCAGTTATTTGCAATTTATAAACATACCTAGCTGATATTTAAAAATGTGTCAACTCTTGAAACTTGTCGTCTTTTATAGGGTGGATGGTATTTTTATATGGCATTTTTGTCGGGTATAGGGTATATATAGAGCCAAGTCAAGCAGTAATAATTAATGTACATTGTACATTACAAGACATATTTTTCTTAAATAAAAAATAGGGTTTGACTTGTTAAAGATGTAAATATTTATTTTATGGTGAATTTACGTTTTAAATAACTCCTAAGAAGGCACTCGAGCGTAAGGTGTACATGTATTGATAAATAAAATAAAGTGGTTCACTCGACAAGGTTTTGGAGCCTACATATAAGATTTTTTAAATGTCTTAAGGTCGTTACCCTCCACATATTTAGATACCTAATCGATTTCTGAGTCATTCTTAAGGTTATGAACGTCAAAAGAAACTTTTAAAATAATTACGTTTTAAAAACGAATTATATATTTACCTAGCTCTTACCTGTGACTCCGTCTGTGCAAAAAAAGCAATAAACAATAAACAAAAACTTTTAAGCGCCTCATGTGTCCCGTCTATCATTTGTGCATGAAAACACTTAATTTTGGATTCGGTATCGTTTTAAAAAGAGCCTAAGCTACTCATTATTACATCAGCTACCTATCATTAAAGTTCCGTCAAAATCAGTCCAGTCACTTCAAAGCTTAGCTGGAAAGTGGAACAATTAGACATACGGACAGATAGATAGACAGACGGACAATACATGTGTTTTGATTTTCTTCTTGAAAACATTCTGTACCGTATATATACATCTATCTATATAGGTATATCTAATATATAAAATTCTCGTGTCACGGTGTTCGAAGTTGAACTCCTCCGAAACGGCTCGAACGATTTTCGTGATCCTTATCGAGGATACTAACCAGGGGGGAGAATCGGCCAACATCTATTTTTCATCCGCCTAAATGTTAAGGGTAGTCCACCCCTAAATTTTTGTTTTTATTTTTTAGGCAAAATTTTTTGTTTTTATTTTTTTATGACACAGCCTACAAAAATACATACAACCCTAAATTTTCACCCCTCTGAGATCAACCTTTATTTTTTATTTGTTAATTAAAAACTTTAATTTTTTGGCATTTTTTTTTTATTACTTACAATAAAAATCTCATATTACTCTAAATTTTTCACCCCTCTACGATCAACCCCTATTTTTTATTTGTTAATTACAAACTTTCAAATAAAAACTAACATATATTTCTTGATTATAAGGCGGTACGAAGTTCGCCGGGTCAGCTAGTCTTCTATATATATAAAAATGGATTGCTGTTCCTTGGTCTCACTAAAACTAGAGAACGGCTGAACGGATTTATCTTAACTTAGTCTTGAAATGTTCGTGGAGGTTCAGGGAAGGTTTAAAAGATGAGAAAAATTGGAATAATTGCCGGGAAAACCCTAAAAACAGCCCTTTTCTATTTCCCATACAAACGTTTTTTTTGACATTAGATTTGACAACTAACTAATATGTCAATCATTCTGTTTGATTGAAACAGGAAAAACCTGATTATTTATGGCCTCTAAGACGGAATAGAGTTTGCTTGGTCAGCTATACCTACATATATTACTTCTGACCAAACTAACGCGGACGAAGTCGCGGGCAAAAACTAGTATATATATAAAAATGGATTGCTGTTCCTTAGTCTCGCTAAAACTCGAGAACAGCTGAACGGATTTATCTTATCTTAGTCTTGAAATGTTCGTGGAGGTTCAGGGAAGGTATAAAAGCTGAAAAAAAATTGATTAATTACTGGGAAAGCCATAAAAACAGCCCTTTTCTATTTCCCATACAAACGTTTTTTTTTGACATTTGATTTGACAACTAGCTAATATGTCAATCATTCTGTCGCACTTCAAAACACGGAGATTTATGGCTTACAGGTAAACTCCAAAAATATAAATAAAAAAACGTAATAGATATTTCTTGATTATAGGGCGATACGAAGTTCGCCAGGTCTTCTAGTATATATATGCATGTAGTAAAAAACGATTATTTCAATATTACATACACTGCAACTTTATTTATATTCTACCGTCTATCTTGATGATTTTCGTTGCTTGTAATAAATGCTCATATTGTATACATTTATCTGTGTGTGTGTACCACATGTTTACCTTGACATAGAATATTATCCTGACGAGTTCAGTTTTACGTATTTAATACACAATATAAAGGTAATGTTTTTTATTATTAAAAGGTCCATTTTCTAAACGAATAATTATTAATTACTGATATCAAAAAATCTCTTATTTCTTTTTAAAAGTTCTGTTCTGTTCCTGACAAATTATAACACACTAGAAGACCTAGCGAACTTCGTATCGCCCTATAATCGAGATATATCTATTACGTTTTTTTATTTATATTTTTGGAGTTTACCTGTTAGCCATAAATTTCTGTGTTTTGAAGTGAGACAGAATGATTGACATATTAGTTAGTTGTCAAATCTAATGTCAAAAAAAACGTTTGTATGGGAAATAGAAAAGGGCTGTTTTTATGGTTTTCCCAGTAATGAATCAATTTTTTTTCAGCTTTTATACCTTCCCTGAACCTCCACGAACATTTCAAGACTAAGATAAGATAAATCCTTTCAGCTGTTCTCGAGTTTTAGCGAGACTAAGGAACAGCAATCCATTTTTATATATATAGATATATAATATATATAGATTAGTAATGAAATTGTTAATTTAACGAACAATATTAATTTATCTGCCTTGAAAAAAGTAAATTTAATGGAAATATTTCAATATACGAAATTGCTATTAATTTAGTCATGTCATGTTCTAAAACTCCAGAACTACTGCGATAGTACTAGACAGAATCACAATTAGTGTTCAGCATAGATAATACACTATATTAGTTCAGTGTTAGTGTGGCACTGCTCCCAATAACGTAATTCATTATTTCCTCACGATCAATACTAGTGTAGATTTCCTTTTAGTAGAGTTAAAAAAGTTACGAGGCAATATGTGACGCAAGCGATAAGTGGTTAATTAAAATACTCTTTGGGTTCGCATATAGAAACTTCCGTCAGGTCTCCAGAGAGAGATAATGGAGATAAATCTAAAAAGTGTTTTCGTCTTCTGACTAATAAAAGTTAATTTTTAATGGTATGATTAGTTTCATTGATTTTATCTTCAGCGTTAGTAGTTTTAAAATATAATTGGTAGTTTTTAAATAGAAAAAAAATATTTTTAAAATAAAACGTTTCTTTAAATCGAATGGGGTAAAACAAAAATTATATGTTGACAAAATTTGTTAAAATGGACTGTAAGCAAAACTAAGGTTATTGTAAATACCAAAATCTGTTCCATGTAAAACCGAACATTGAACGAATATAATTAATATATGATATATTTAAGTATATAACTAAGTTTTTATTTAATTAAAGCAATAGAAAAAAAATATTGATATGCATAGATGAAGCAAAGAAAATAGCAATTAGGTAAACCGAAATGTTTGAAATTAGATTAAAAATAACTACAGGCCCTAAAAACACTTTCAGAGGGTGTGGAAAGCAATGTAACCTATTCATGGGCTGGAGAAAGAGGAGTAGACAATGAAGATTACATATTAATTGGACCTGAGAGAATTGCTGTGAGAAACTCAAGAACACCAACATTCTTTTTACAAACTGGTAGGGATTTGCATTATATTTAATTCACTTATTTAATTATAATTAATTCACGTTATTTGATAACACATGTTTTATTTAATTTTAGGTGACAAAGAAAGTGTCAGCATGATGGAAAGAGTACTACAAGTTAAAACATCTGTTTTAGACCATATAGCCAATGAAATAACTATATCTTTAATGCATTCAATAATGGATAACTTCAGAATATTTGCCAATAAAGTGCCAGCTAAACATTATTATACTTATGGTAGTGTTGAAGATAATTAAATAATAATCTGTGAATTTCTATTTTATTTTTTCATCCTATAATATTATTTTTTATAATCTATTACACAAAACCTCAAGATAATTAAAAAATAGATCATTTTACATGTTCATACAACTTTCTAGATTCAAATTAGTATATAATATGTATGTTAATAAAAAAAGGTATCAAACTGAGTTCAATGAAAATTGATGTATATATAAGCAATTATAGAGCTGGAATAATTTTTGCCTCATAAATGCATATAACAATAATTATAAAACAAAACTCCACACTTAATCAAATAATCATAAGCCAAAAATGAGTTACATGACTTATTATTTTACAAAAAAGTATAATAGACTATAGATAACTGCAAGGAAACTGGTTTTCAAATAAGAATATGTGGTTGAACATTTGATCCATTAATTCAACTGTGCAACAAACAGATAACAAACACATTACCATCAAACTTATAACTTTCAGTCTTTTTACATTAAGGTATACAAAATAATCAAGTTCATACTAATAATATGATGGATGATAAATGGTATTACTGATTTTATATCTAACCATAAGTGCTAATTTAAGAAATAATACACAAAAACATTGCTTGTAATTTCTATAAAGATTTAAAATACATCTCCAAGTGCTTCTTCCAAAAACTTTTTGTAAATAGCCATAAACTTTGCTACAAATGCTTCTATGTGAAATATGGGTTTATTACCCAGTCTCATTCTGTGTTCGTACTGAGCTGCATAGCTGGCAATCTTACATTTCATAGACATATCACAGTTACAAACTAATTCTTTTAACAGTCCTGCAAATATCACATCTGGTGGCACTCCGTGAATTATTAATTCGTATAACTTTTGTCGAACTTCAGCAAGTTTTTTCGGTGACTGTTCAGATAAAATCATAGCTGCTGTTTCTCTTATAAATATTTGCCAATCTGGCTCTGGAACCTTTTGATCTGAGGTAAATGGATAATGCTGAACTTTACATGCCTCACACATTAACAAAGCACGACGTAGATTACGATCCGCACTTTTTGCTATCCGCATAGCTAGCTCTGGTGGCAAACTTAGGCCTTCTTTTTTACAAACAGCATGCAAAACCGATGCTATTTCTGTTTCAGTAGGGGCTGGCACTCTTATTGTTAAACAACGTGATCTTATAGCAGGAATAACTCTTGATATTGAATTGGCAATTAATATTAGTCTGCAAGTACTAACATATTTCTCCATAGTACGACGAAGAGCATGTTGTGCATCCTTTGTTAAGTCATCTACTTCATTTAATATAACAACTTTAAACTCACGTTGACCGGCAGAGTCGATTTGATGCGTTTGTGCCACGTTTTTTACAAGATCCATAATAACAACTCTATCGTGTATACCAACATCAGTGGGATTGACTTCAATGTGGTAATTGCTACTGACAGTCATTATTTCTATTTTCTTATTAGAAGGCGTAGTAAAATGCATTGTTTCTTGACGCAAACGTTCAGATCCAGATCCATATAATTCTCTTAACAAGCACATAATTCTAGTTTTTTTACCAGCTCCAGATGGACCGTATACAAGGAGATGAGGGAAATCACTTTGTTGAACAAGACTTTTCAATCTTACAGCTTGATCTTTGTGGTAATCTAGCTTCATCAAATCTTTAGGACGATGTTTATCAACCCAAAGACTCATCTTGTTTATCTTAATTAAACTAAAGTTAATTCCTCTTGGTCTTTAATAATCTGGCTCAAAATTTCAAATTACACAATGTCAAAATTATCATGACTGTATTAAAAAGCCCGCCAAAAAAAAATGCGTTCCAAAAAAATATTTTTTTTTTTGGTTATGTTCGTTCCGTTCAGAACAGTCAAAGAGAACAAAGCCAATACAGCCATGTATTTTGTATCTTTAATTATTTTTAAATGTCTTAATCTCCTTTTTTATTCTTGACTCAAGTTTTTATATCAGGCCTAAGCCATGTCTTCTTTTAATTTTCTTATTAAATCATTTTTTTAATTTTAAGGCCGAAGCCATGACTTCTTTTAATTATTCTTCTTGAATCATTTTTTTTAATTATAGGGTCGAAGCCATGTCTATATTTAAAATATTTTTTTTTGTCAAAGTCTTGTTTTTTTACATTCCGTCTTTTTTCAATGTCAAGTCCTTGTAATGTCATTTTTAGTACAATTCATTTGTCACAGTCGATAAAACGGTCTAATTTTGAAAATAGCTGAAAAAGCTGAATAACAAATATCTTAAACAAAACGAAAAAAATTGTATTATATACATATGTATATATAACAATTAGATTTCATTTATAGTAGAAACAATATAGCCATAAACTGGCAAGAAGCATTCTTGAATGCTTAGTATTTGCTGAAGGGAGCGCGGGATATCTTCAGCAGTTTTAAAAATACTTAAAAGTTGGTCTACAAAGACCATCCTTTGAATACTAAATACTATATTGAATTGAATACTAAATACTAAATTGAAGAGTCAAAAACACCAATCCTAAAAAGGTGAGCACCAAAACTACAGGACTAGTTTTGGCGTCTGGGACAGATTATGGTATAATACTTTCTATGACTATAGTCACTACCCCGGGTAAACCAGGGAGAAGAGACCTTTATCTTTATTGTAGCTAACCATTTTCCTTTTACCTTTACCACCTGATGCCATAAGTTGTAAAATTCTTTCTGTAACTTGAGTTTGAAGAGGGATAGAGTGTCTGAATAAGGAATTGGGAAATTTGAAAAGCTATGACTTAATTGATTGTGGGCCGGATTTGTAATAAATTTAGCTAAATAGTCTGCTTGCTCATTACCATGCACACCAATGTGGGCTGGTGTCCAGAATAGGACTATTTGTTTGTTTTGAGACAGTAGGTGATACAACTCTCTTATTTTATATATAATATAGTTAGTTTTTGAATTTAATTGTGGATTTGGAAGTGCCGTTAATAAACTTAAACTATCCATTATTATAATCCACTTTGGATGAGTCTGTGTTTGAATGTGCTTATAGCTGTATACACAGCTATGGATTCAGCGGAGTATATGCTTGTGAGTGGGATTCAGCCTATGGCCGAATCTACTTTAGATCCGACTATCATAGACAGCTATAGAGACTGCTTCATTGTTCCTAGATCTATCTGTATATATCTGATGATATCCCTGCCACAGGTATCAAGTTCCCTATAAATGTCTTCCTTATACTTTAGAAGACTTTTGACTACAATTTTAATCTGCATAAATTTTGATTCCTATAACCCAGAGTAACAAGGCCATCCTATGCTAGAAAAAATATTGTGTTTATTAAAAATTTGTTCTGTTTCAGAAAAACCTTGAAACACATATGAATTAATATTGGCAGTCCTGTTATAAGTGTCCTGCAGTTTAACAAGAAGTTGGTTACTAATGGAGAGCAACCTTGCCAAAAATTTTTATTGTAAGCATTTAAACCTAAGTGCTAATGGATGTATAGTACATTCCACCTGCATTGACACTATGGGAGTAGTTCTCATGGCACCCATTATAATATGCTAACATTTATTTTTTATTAGCAGTCCTCGTGCACTCGCCGAAGCGCACGAGATATTAGTTTAGTAAAGAGCTCAAACTTTTTGCCTATAATTAGAAATTTAACTTTTTATATGTTTTTGTATGTTAAGAAAATAAATATTAAAATGGTAATTTAAAAATAAAAATGAGGTAATATTTTGTAATTTTTAAATCTTTTGAATTGGTGGTTCAGCGCACGAGTGCACTTAAGGTACAGCCGCCACTGATCAGAGCAATAAACAACTAAATCACCTGCAAACTGCAGATGAGAAACTTCACACCCCAGAGTTAAATTTAGCTGATGAATGAATAGGATAAAAAGCAATGGGCTCAATACACCACCCTTTGATACACCCCTACAAGAATATCTTGGACCAAATAACTGATTGTTAACCTTAACAAACACCTTTCTGTAGTTCAAAAAATTAAAAATCCAATTTACAACTTTTCCAGGTACCTGTGGTAATAATAATATGGAGGATAATTTGTTCAGATCTACATTATTGAAAGCCCCTACAATGTCAAAAAAACCCCAACTAGTACTTAATTCTCGGAACGAGCATCGTGTATATCCAGACAGAAATGAGGTAGAATCTCACAAGCAGAACAGCCACAACGAAAGCCAAACTGATTGTAAGGTAAAAGATTATTACTTTCTATGTGAAAAATTAATCTCAGTTTTATTAATTGTTCCAAATTTTTCCAACACATGAATTCAGTGTAATAGGACGATAAAAATCAACCTAATTAAAGTCTTTGCCAGGTTTTAATATTTGTACCAAACAGACAGTTTTCCAATCCTCTGGGATAATAGAAAGCGACCATAAACTATTTAATAAACTTAAACAAATAGATAGAGTCTGAACATTTAAAAGTTCAAACATTCTGTAGGAAAGCCAATCCAAGCCACATGAAGAATCTTTTCTTGAGGCTAAAGCAGATTTTAACTCTTGCATAGTAATACAACCGACATGTATGAATTATCACTATTTACTCCAAGAACATTATCTATACTTATCTGTTGTGAAAACAGTATCCGGTGTGTATTTATATTAAAATGTTTGAACCTAATTGAGGTCAGAAAATAAGTTAAAACTCGGAAAGCTTTTTTGAATTTTCTTATTTTAGTCCAAATGCGACTAAACGATTTATTGATGAGCAGAATTCAGACCAACTTTTACAACATTCTTCTTTTAAAGTGCGTTTTTTAAAGGCTTGTGCGCGTTTGAAATTAATGTAATTTTTACTATTAAGACTAGTTTTGAAATTAATGTAGGCGTTCTTGCAGTCTTCTATAACTTTTCAACATTTATCATTCCACCAAGGCACTTGACACCTTTTTCTAGGACGGTATTATTACTATCAGTTGTGTTATGGTTTAAGCTGGGCCCGGAAAATTTGATTGCCAATAGAATAATTGCACAAAACTTTCTGTATGAGTCAAGGAGATCACTATTGTCAACTTTAAAGTTCATTAACATTTTATTAACAATTTGTTCATAACTTTCCAAATTTACTAATTTCAGATTGCTGTGAAAAGGAATGTTGTTAAAGGAAATAGAGGGCTCATGTAAGAGATCATCTTACGAGAGTAAACTTTGTGATAGTTGGCAGATGATAACTGCCTAAAGGGTCCTGATGAATTTGCCAGTCACAAGAAAGAAATAAAGAAGAAGACACTATAGTTAAATCTAAACTGTTTGGTTTCCAAATATGAGAGCCTATAGTTGTTGGTTGACAATTATTTAAAAGTATTAAGTCATGGTCGTCCATGGAATCCATAATAGCTCTGCCCCAAGAATCTATGCCACTGCAAACCCAAAAAGTATGATGGGCGTTAAAATCGCCTGCAATTGTCAACGGTTTTGGAATACTGTACAATAAACGATCGAACTTCGCCTTTTCCAAAGCAGGAAATTATTACCAGGACTGTAAAAACTAACCAAAGAAATCCATTTATGTTTCAGTTTAATAACAATTACGAATCATCATAAAAAGTATCTAGTTTAGAGAAATGTATGCCATTTTTAATTAATATTGCTACGCCATTATGATCATTATATTACCGCAGTCATTCCTAATAATGGTATAACTACGTAAATTAAATTGAATGCTAGGCTTGAGCCAAGTTTCTGAAATAAGAGCTACATGTATATTATTTTGGTATAGAAAATGTTGAAACTCAAGTCTGTTTGTTACTTAACAGACTTTGAGCGTTCCACTGTACAATATTTAAGATTTGGTGGTTGAATGTGACGATTTGCTATTATGGTCCTGGATGGTTTCTTTAATAGCTGAGCTAATAAATTGTGAACTAATACTTATATTTTGAGTTTTATTTAAAGTTATAACTTTACTATAGATTCTGTTAATAGAGCCATTGCTTCAAAATTGTATAGTATTGCTTGGATTATTTCTTGGGTATTTAATTTTTTATTAAGGGAGGGAAAATTTAATGAATCTTAACGTGTCAGCATATGACTTGGGTTTATTGTTTGCGATTTTCTTTTGCCTTATAGGGCACTGGCTAGAGATGGCAATGTGATTGCCATTACAATTAATGCACTTAGCTTTTTCAATGTTAACCTTGCATTCTTTGAAAGAATGCCCCTCTGTGCATATGGAGCATCGCGGTGTATTTTTACAAAACTTAGCCAGATGAACATGTAATGTAAACATTTAAAACACTGTTTTAACCTATAAAACCGGCGCCTGCCTGTCTTCACATATGACCCACCTGGGTCTTAATCACACATCTTAATGCACATAGTCCGGCAGTGACGTAGCAGACGCAAAAGTTATTACTACGCTCTGAGTAGGTTGCAGTGTGAAGGTGTTATTTTCTCCTTTTACTTCACGCATTATGCGTCGGACAGAAATGACTTTTTTTGTTGTTGATATTGCTTTATATATTTTGTGATTGGATAGATGATTGGGAACCGAAGAGATAACACCCGATAGTTCGGTGGCCCTTGCTGGTATTGAAGCTTTAAGTCGTTGTTCCTTTAGATATGTAGTATTTTCTAAAAAGGTATTTGCAAAATTCGCACGTTGGAAAACAACACCGACCTTATATTTATTAATTTTTTTTAATATTGTATACCTTTCACACAGCGTATAAAACTAGTACTAAGCGACATCGTGTCCCTATTACCGAGTGGGACATCTTTAGTACTTTCGACAAATACTATGAATTCAAACTTGCCTTCCGCATCTTCAGGGTATCGCCGACAATAATCAGCGACCCTAAAGAGAGCGAAGGCATTTGCATCCTGCAATACTGGCGAATCCTTGCAATCGGAATCGCTGCTTGTACTGAAAGGCAAGGACTCACCCGAATCCTTCTTTTTACGTTTTTTCAGCATCTCTCCACATAAAAACTTACATACAGACTAAGTTTTACTTCTTTACAATAAACTAAACAAAAATTTGCAAATTATGGTATAAAACTATTTAAAATAATTGAAGTTTTCAAAAAGCCCGCGTCAACGTTTCAATTCCCGCGCTCTTTTCGTTCAAAAATATGTAAAAAACATATATTTGTCGTGGTGGCATTTTCTATATTTGTTAAACGCAACATTTGACATAATTAATTAAAAATAATTAACACAAAATATTTTTTTGGATTAAACTTTATTATAAATTAGTCCAAATATATTTTAAACAATGAAATATTTATAATAAAAATAGCTGAAGAAGTGATATCTTTGTTCTCATGACAATTTAATTTCATTACTAATAGCTAAAGAACTCGAATATTTCGTAATAAAGTTCTATTCCTGGTTGGATAATGGCATTGACCTTAATCTTATACCAAAGACGGTATTACTGTATCCTTAAAAGTAATTGTGGTGTTTCGTATTGTGATTTGTCATCTGAGATCATGAGAGCATAAACTAACTAATCTAAACATAATCTGATGATTTATATTTGGGATATATTTACATTTTAGTTTATTATGAGGAAAATCTTTGAATAACTAGAAATGACAGGCAGCAGTAACGCCAACTGAGGTAAAGGTATAGTTCGATGTTAAAAATTTATATTAACCCCGTCCCAAGGTATCAAGCAAGGCATTATTTTTTCCCCTCATCATAGGCAACTATGCAGGTTCTATTTTTTTTTTCAATAATGTTACATTCTATGACTCTATGACATCTCTTTAAAATGTGATTTAAGACTAATGACTCTTAAGTGGAGTATTTAAAAAAATATTTTTAAAACCCTTTACTAAAGGACTGTAAGTCGATGGGGTTCAAAGAATTTAAAGTGGCTAGTTTTTATGCCTGAGTTTTATTCGATTAAGCCGACGATGATTTCCAAATTCGTACCAATACTTTAAATTTTATTTTTTGTTACTACCTGTTTATTGATAAAAAATTGTGATGATTGTTAAGTAGATATGTCGATACAATATAATTCAAACAATCTACCTCATGGCTCTAAACACTACCTTGATGACATAAATATTTTTCCCTTAATGTCATTGTATATAAAAAAGCTTTTAGATTTTTCTTATAAATATTATAAAAATAGGATAAATTTTTAATCCGGATGTTAAAATATAATATCGAGTAATCAATAACGTCATGTGATGTTATGTCAATGTCAAAAGTCAAATACTTAACGGTAGCTTAATGTCAACGGGTTCACCCAACTCTAACGAAAGCAGACAGAAGCCACTCAAATTCAGTAAAAAAGGGATTCTAGGTCTTCTTTGATCAAATAATCAATTTCTTCAATATGTGTACACTAAATTAGAATATATTCATTTAGAAAAATATACAATAACTAATACATCCAACTCTGGGCATAAATGGAAGCAATAATGCAAAAAACAAGTTTAAGTTATTTTTTTGTACTCCTCATCGTGTCCGTGACTTCATGTGAAGAATATAATTTGTACGGAGACCCTGGACAAGCTTATGTGTTTGAAATTGATATCGGACATCCTAAACAAAAGGTATTTCATTAAATGATTTAATAGTATGCGTTGTTAGTAAACATTGTACTTGTTTAATACTTTGTTATTACTTAACCAGAAAACCAAACATATAAGTTTCTTGATTCGTTTATAAATTGTATTATTTACTTGTAAAAGAAACCAATAAGATTCTTCTCTTTTTGTTATATGGTTATGTTAAGAAAATGTTTAAGGTAAAGTCACTAATGCCAGACAGTGACCTAAAGGATGACACCTTCGAAGGAATGTTCTTGTATTAAAAATAATTTTAGTAAAATGACTTATTACAATATCGTAAGATGTCTAGCCCCCATCTATGAATTATTCTCAAAAAAGTCCCAACAGTTTCTAAACGAAATTTCAAAAATATCGTCAGTTGCTATCAAACACGTAACGAAATGAGCGCGCGTTTCTCGATTTTTTAATTCTTAGGTTAAGGAGGGCGAAATTTAAAGGTGAATTTTGAACCGATATTTAATTAAAAAATGCTTTTTATTCATTTGTCAAGGTATCAATGAGGTGTTGAGATAATGTTAAAAGTGCTTTGCTTGTGTTTGCTAATATTTTTCTAACAAATTATGTTATGTCTACTATTAGTTCCAAAAAAATACTGAAAATCTAATAGTTGACAGGCGTGTCATTTATTGGTGTTTCCCGATATTAAATTATTATGTTACGTTCGGCACGATTTTGGACTATATTTCCAATGAAAAGATTACTGTAGAGATATCAGTTTTTTTGGATCACTGTAACCAAAGGTATACATGATGTCAATTATTGGTTCTAAGGTTCCCGACTGATAATTATGCCACCAATAAATTGCCAGATGTTTTGTTACTCTGAGGCTGATATGGAAGCCGCTATTCAACTGCATCAAATAATTTGGGGTACTAAGGGTAACTCTGCTAAATAAAGTAAAGGGTAAACACCAATAAAACGAAAAATGGGTAGAACATGTTACATCTCTGATGACACTGAAGCTGTGCTTGTAAAGTGGGCTAAAGCTATGGTGAAACTAGGATTTCAATAGGCAAAGAGAATTTTCAAGATAGTGTGAAAAAAACTGTTGATAATTTGAATTTAGAAACTCTTCTTAAAAATAAGAGGCCTGTTACAGCAGTTTTTTAAATCGGAACCCAGACCTAATCCATAGACAGTCTCAAAATTTAATATCATCTAAACATCAAGTCCATGTCAAGTATTAGTGCATTTGACTGTCTACTATTGGTAATTTTCGTTTTTTGTGATGTCATCTATTAGTGGTTAAGACAATATACATATATTTTTTTTATTGATACTAATTAAAACATGTTAATTATTGAAAATTTTATTACTTCAGATAATTTTTTAAGATACACTGTGTTCCTTTAAAAAAGCTGGAATTGTTTTGTGTAATAAATATATAATTATTGTCATTTAAACATAGTATTTTCACTACAGTGTCGGGCATTAGTGACTTTACCTTAAGTGACATTTTATCATAATTCAAATCAATTTTAATGTTACAGCTTAATTTAATAATCGATACAGGAAGCACAACTTTGGCTATTGCAGCATATCCCTGGAAAGATAATAAAAAATATTTTTATCCTGGTAACTCAACAACATTATACAAAACTTACACGCAGGTAATATCCAAATTTTAACACTTTAACAATTTAATTACAATAAGGTTTCACTTTATATTATATAATTTGGTTATTTAGTTTATGTACTTTTTTTATTGTATGTAGTGGATAAAATTATAGGAGTACTAAAAATCTCAAGTGTAACTTTAAAAAAATCTGTAATGAAATGTGCATCAAAGTGTTGTATATTTACAAATTTAGTGAATTTATGATACCAGTACAAATTGATGAAAAATTATATTATCTTTATTAACTTTTTTATTATGTCAATAAATGTCTTTTCTTTCTATCTTTCTTCCTTATGTACTGTGATTCATAAATTTGTTATATCTATGAAAAAGATTTAGGGCTAGTGGTGGCCTAGTGGTTAAAGGGCCCGCCTCTCGTTGCAGAGTGCACAGGTTTGATCCTGGCAAGTACCAATGTGATTCTTACGAGTCATATGTACATTCTAATAGTATTTAGACACCACTGACATATGGTGAAGGAAAACATTGTGTGGAGAGTTTGAAATCACCAACCCGTCTTGAGCAAGCATGATGATTAATGCTCAAACCTTCTCCATGTGAGAAAGAGGCTTTTGCTCAGCAATGGGCTCTGATAGGCTGATGATGATGAAAAAGATTTAAATGAATAAGATTGATTACAGGTTTATAGATAATAATCTTAGATTCAGAGATAATGTTGTAACTCTAGTGTAATTTTTTTTAGAAACACATAATAATTAATTATTATTACATATTATGAATGCTTGAACTATTTTCACATTACACTACTAAATGTATATGATAGTATACTTATATATAACATTAGCCAATGTTTGAGTAAACCTAAAAAAATACATCCTTTATTACATAAAATTCTTGCAAAGTATTTTAATTGCTTATCACATTTTACTAGCTGAATTTATCAATGAATTTCTAGTTTTGGTATTGTATATGAATATCTAGAAAGCAACCAAATACAAAATTTGTATTAATAAATGGGTATAGTCCTCGAGGTTTAGGCTGAGCTTTGTATTTGTGTGAGTGAAAATAAAAGTAGAGATAAACAAAAAACAATTGAATTAATTTTTTTATTTTTTAATAATTTTGTCATTCATTTCATTTGATATTTCACATAAATCGAAGAGCTATTCTATATTTAAAATAAAATAAGCAAAGCTTGTTAAAGACCACATGTAAATGTTATGCAATGAAAAATAGACTAATTTAATAATTCAAATTGTAAATTACACAAAGTTTGTTTTACTTGGTTATTTAAAGGTTTAAATAATATGCCTTTTTTCTCCAAGTTAAAATCCATTAAACACTATCACTTTGCTATCCATACAAAGGGTGAAGTGCGGAAGTTGAGTGAGGTAGAAGCAGTATAAACCAGTTCAAATCTAGAAAGGCATGTGGCATGCACAAATTTGACATCACACCTCCACTATCCGTGTGCACTCACACAAATGCAAAGTTCGGCTTAAGTCAAACGCACTATGACCCAATGCCTTATGAAATTGCATGTGTACTGAAAAAAATGTGTAGTGGAATGAATTATATAAATAAATTGAATTATCAAATAAGAAACAAATGGCCATTTTTTAAAATCATGATTGTTAGGATTTTCCTTGATCAACAAAGTCATTTTTTTATTGTTAAAGAAACTATAATATCCAAAAAAATTAATAGAGAGATAGAAAGTAAAAATATTGGTCCTTATAGTTTATCAAAAAGCAGATATGGTTTTTAGATCTCATTTATAGGAAAAAGAAAGAAAACATCTTAATCCCAATTTATATATGTACATACATATTTAGAATATTTACATTGTTATAAACAATATTCGTGTCTAATATATTTGGATGTGGGTTTACCAAAAAGCCTAAGCTTATTATCTTTCTGGGCTTAGTAACCTCAGCATATGTTACTACCCTTGGCTCTTAGTTGTTTTTCAAACTTACTGTGTGTTTAAGTGCTATGTCAATTCTTTCATAGAATACTTATTTCTATTCTTTATTGAAGTTACTGGATAAATAAATAAATATATTGTTTTGAAAAATCTATGGATATTTATGTGTACAAGTAGATGTAGATATTTAAGGTTGACATCATTATAAAGAATTTGGATGTGGACCAAGATGTTGATCTTCTTCTTCCTGGCAATTTCCCAGCTTTAGCTAGGGTCTGCCTATGACGGGGATGTGGACCAATATCAAATATAATAATTTTTTATAAGGACACATTTCTTATTTCCTTTTTTATTTTGCAGATTGAGTCAACATATGCTCAGGGGACATGGGTTGGCATTTTAGCATCTGATTTTGTCACCTTCCCTTCATTACCGTTGATACCAGAAGTAAGGTGTGATATTGCATTGATAACTAAGAGTCACCAGTTCTTTATGGACGTCTCGAGATGGCAGGTAATTCATACATATTGATTATAAATTATAATAAAATAAAATGAAACTAAAACTTATTTAATTCATTAATAAATAATATATTTATTTATTTATTTTATTAGGAAGCCAACATAATGTACAATGATCTTACAAAGTACACTACGATTAAAGGCTAACTCAGCATGTATTCACAAAATATATATGTATATATATATATATATATATATATATATATATATATATATATATATATATATATATATATATATATATATATATGTATGTATGTATACTAGAAGACCCGGCGAACTTCGTATCGCCCTATAATCAAGAAATATCTGTTACGTTTTTTTAATAAATAAATTTAGGTTATACCTTAGCCTCAGAATTATTAATACGTGGTGGTTATGCTATTATTAAATAGTCGCTCATATATGACGTTTGTGTTTTCAACATAGCGCCATCAATTGAATACTTAACTCAGTCAACAGATAATTGTAATCATAACAAATAATTTTCTTTAATAGACAAATAATTTCCAATAAAATAATATTGTGACTATAAATTGAGATGTAAGCTATCCTATCTTTCAATTTGGATCAAAATGCACACGGAATGCAAATCAAATTTAAAATCGCTTTAGTAGTTTAGGAGTCCATCGACGTGACACGTGATACGAAATTTTTATATATATAAAGATACTAGTAAACCTGGCGAACTCCGTTTCGCCACCAGAAGGCTTTTATATAACATTTCGTTTGGTGATTAAAAGATGAAGATTTTTTTTTGTTTTAAATTTGAAAAGGATAATTTTTATTTCATTTCACAACAGTAATGAATTCATTTCGATTACAAAAATGAAGTGTTATTTAGTTGTAGTTTAGTCGAAGTAAATGAAAGTGAATCCAAAGTTGATACCGAATCGAAGCGTTATACGCGTCCGCAAATTATCCGTTTCATTAAAGTGGTCCTTTGTAAACCACATTTCTTATTTTTTGGTCTAACTTTAACACAAACAAAGAGGATGGTTTCCAAACTCGTGAACACGCAAAATATAACGCCCATGTGAAACGCAATGATTTTCTAAAATCCCGCAAATACTAAACGGTTTTAAAAGTTCAAACTACAAACACAATACCGGTTTATCTCATGAAATTAACTGAGCAGAGAACAATGAGTAGCTGTCAAACAATGTATCAGCTACATCTACTTAAAATATTGATTTGTAGTACATGTTTTACAACGAATGCAAAACCGTGGAAATTGGTTCGTTCGTTCTGAAGTTATAGCGTCAGGATGGAAAACCGGACTTATTTTTATTAAGTAGATCTCTTACAAATATCTAATTGTCATCATTACGTCATTACATATCTGTCATTATACGTCAATTGCATAGCTGTCAATTGTGTTTCGTTATTCCACGTTTTATAGTAACTGATGTTTCATGTCAAGTCCCACGGGAATGCTGTCGAAGGGAATAAAAAGTATCCTATTGCAATTTCCTGGCTCTAAACTACCTCTGCCAATTTTCAGCTAAATCGGTTCGATCGTTCTTGAGTTATAAGTGGAGTAACTAACACGACTTTCTTTTATATACAGGGTGACTGGTGAATTACTATCGATACTTGAGGACGTGATATTTGACGATCATATATGACAAAATAAAAATTAATATAACATAAATATTAATAAACTTCTAAGTAAAGTTAACCAAAAGTTATGTAATTAATTACGTATGGTGTGAACACCCTACAGATTAGGTATACACACACACACACACACACACGCGCGTGCGGCGGCGTAGTGTTGTGTCAACACGCCGCCGCACGCGTCCACACTTGGAACACTTGGAACGTGTCCACACATTATTTATTTATACGGAAATTTGGTCAAAAATTAAGTACCTATTTTTTTTACATAATTCGAATGAGAATCATGTACCGAGTATTCTCCTTAAATATTGATAGTAATTCACCAGTCACCTTGTATATATATACCTATACATATTGTAAATAATATATATATTGTAAATAAACATACATACATATAATATACATACATATAATATACATATTGTAAATAATATATATATATATATATATATATATATATATATATATATATATATATATATATATATATATATATAACGAAGCAACGTATTAAATAATAAAGTAGAACTCTTTTGTAAGAAGTATATGGACTATTCCGCAGATATTATTTACAATAAGTATATTACATTAAAAGTTTAAAGTTATTTTTGTTTTATAAGATTTTAGATTATCGTTATATATATCAATACCCACTTTTTTAGAAATATTATTATAAGTTCTAAAAGCCCTATTTAAAGGTGCCTTTATTCCTAAATTTGTTCTTGCAAACCGACATTTGAAAGTTAGTGTATTTGTATGCATCGTGTTAGGTCTCGGTACTACTATATTAAATTCTTTTAGTAATTGAGGACAATCAATGTTACCTGATATTATTTTATGTAAAAAGCAAAAGTACAGCATATCTCTACGATTTTTAAGCGTTGTCATATTGTAATGTTTTAATAAAACATCATAATTACTAAGCATAATCGTGTTTCTATCTTTGAATCTTACAAATTTTAGCAATTTCTTTTGAATTCTCTCTATCCCGTCTATATGAACTTGATAAAAGGGACATGGAGTCCCGCTACGGAACAATATTCTAATTTACTTCTTATAAACGAATTAAATAATGTTATTATAGAATCTGATCTTTTAAAGGCTTTTGTACTTCTTTTTATGAATCCTAATATTTTAATTGTTTTACTGGCCAATTCGTCTACATGTGGAATAAAGCTCATTTTAGAGTCAACAGTTATACTTAAATCTTTTATTTGGTTAACTCTATTTAAAATACATTCATTTATTTTGTAGTCATAAATAATATTTGATGTTTTTCGGCTGAACGTTAAGATGTAACATTTGCTATGATTTAAATTCATATGATTTATGTTTCAGGGATTACTAGGGCTTGCATATTTGTCAGTAAGCGCTCGAAGCGAAGGTGCCATGGTTGGTTCTTGGTTGGATTCCGTGGAGAGATCATTGAAGAGGTCTATGTCTTTTCAGTTCAAGCTATGTGGGATTGTGAGTCCCAATAACGCAACACATTATGGAAAATTTGAAATGATAGGTAATATCTCTAAAAATTCATTTCTGTCATCAATTCAAGAAATCGCTTTTAGTGATAAGGCCCCCCCTGCCTTCAATTTTCTGTATTTATATGTAATGTTATTTCCTATGATTATGAGTGCAATAAAGTATATTTCTTCTTCTTCAAGTTCTCAGATGTCAAATAAAATATTTATTTGATGAGATCTAAGATTTTCGCGAGTATTCGTTTAAATAAAATTAATATTATTCGGATTATGTACTACGCGTAGTATAATTTTTTAAATCTACATACTCCCGACGTTTCGACTCTTCAGCAACCATGATCACTGTTGCTGAAAAGTAACTAATACCGAATAATATAGTTTCATTTTAATATTTATTTCATTGTTTCAGATGACAGTTCAAGATCTAGTGACGTAATTTTCCGTACTCCAATTTTGCGTAAAAGGTGGTATGAGATAGGCGTACTCTCAGTGAGAACTATTACAAAGCTACCTAACTCGTCTATTGACAAATCCAATGATACATTAAAAGAAAACAATACTATTGATAAGGAAATGTGTAAGAAACTAACTCAAGATAAAAGTATTTTGGATACTGGAACAACTAGTATAAGACTGCCGGATGAGATCTTTACTAAGGTACAATCTATATTGTTAATTATTTACTAAAGCACTGAAATACATACTTAATAATACATCATATTATTTCAGGTAGTAAATGTACTTAGAAATGCTGCACAAACAGGGAATATGTTGATTTGGGATGAATTTTGGTACCATGGCGAGGTATGCTATAAGTTTTGTATATTCTGTGTATATGTAGAGCTGATAAAAAGTCAATTCTTTTTAAATTAACTAATTATAACAAAAAAAAGTTAGTTTGAATTTATGTCTATTCTCTTATTCTTATAAAGATATAAAAATTTACTGAATATTTTTATTCAACTAAATGATTAATATTTCAGGCTACATGTTGGCCTGAACCTCAAGAATGGTCTTTACCTTCAATTGCCATTGACATTCTCAGTGCTGATTCAGATAATGAATATTTTACATTGGAAATAACGCCACAGGTAAATTTTGTGACCACAGGTATTTTTCAGTTCAAACAAATATTTTATATAAGGAATTTAATTACACTCAAAATTATATACACAAGCTCTGCACTCAACTCTACAGAAGTAATGATGTGATTATGAAATGACAGAATTAGGTAGAATAGTATAATATAAAGTCAAATATTACTTATTTTTCTTATTCTTATAATATATCTTAAGGCGTTTTACAATCAGAGGAAAATATATAAAAAAAGGCTATGTCTCATTATGGACTTCTATGTAGGTGAGGTATTCTTGATTAAAAGAAGGTTACGGCTTCAAGAAAGTTGTACTTCCAAGTTGAGTATATGAGTCACTAAATAGTATTGAACTTTTGAATATGCCATTTCAGTATATAATTTCATCCATAAGTTTAGGGACATCTTCTTTTTTGGTCCAAATATGAAAGTGTCCGCCAGTAAAAAATATGCTGTTTTCCGTTAGAACTTGTCCCCCTGAGTATTTATTATTATGACACCAAAGTATGTATTGAAGTGTTCTTTTTTTACATGCTCATAATATTGTAGCCGGTTTTCTTGCAATTTGTCAGCTATGTCGAGTAACTCGAAGCTACCCCGCACGTGCACGTTGCGGATCTTGTTGGGCTTCGTCACTCCGTACATCCACTTTAACATTTTCATCTCCGTCATACGAATGGAATTAAGATGCTTTTTTGTTACTGCCCACGTCTCGCTTCCATATATGAGAACTGGTCTTATGATGGACTTATAAATTAACTCTTTGAGCTTAATGGGCATCCTCGTGTCGCAAGTGCCTCCAGTAAGCTCGCGCCCCTTCATCTAAGCAGTGGATATACGGTGTTGAAGGTTGCTTTTCAGACTACCGAATTTGTTTATTATGCTATCCAGGTAATTTATACTCGTCGCACTGTTGGACCACCTGGCCCTCCATCACTATTGGTTCAATGCAAGGGGTAGAGACATTACTAGGTACTAGGTCTTAGCTATACCTCCTGCTTGTAGTTGCTCTTTCCATGCACTTAATGTTACTTCCAGGTCTTGGCGACTTGATGTATATATCGCTACATCGCCTGCGTATACGAAAGTCGATAAAGCTTTCTGTTGAGCATCTTCAGTGAGTGTATCTAGCACTTGACTTAACAAGAACATACTTAGAACTGAACCTTGATGAACCCCTTCAGCGACTGGGATGGATTTTGTCACTCCCACCGTTGTTCTTATGAAGGATCGCGTATTTCTATACATGTCGGTAATGGTGGAGACATATGCTTCAGGAATATTACGAAACCTGAAATTCCACCATATAGTGTCTCTAGGAACACGATCTTCAGCCTGTTCCATATCCAGAAATGCAACGTAAAGGGGTTTCTCTTTTGCTCTGAATTCTTGTGAATTCTTCTATCATGGTCATGGCAAATGTCGGGTCAATTGTTGACAAACCTGGCACAAACCGTTATCTATGACTCTCTCATACAGCTTCATTGTATGGCACATTAACTTAATGCCTCGGTAGCTAGTGCATTCATATCTGCTACCTTTACCTTTGTAGAGGGGAAGGTGTTGAAATTTTGAGCTCAAATAATAATAAATACTCAGGGGGACAAGTTCTAACGTAATACAGTATATTTTTATACTGGTCGGCACTTTCATATTTGAAACAAAAATGTATGAAATCGCGATGATGTCCTTTTAAAGAAGAAGCATTAAAACATGATAAAAACTAATTATACTTGAAATAATAGTATTCTTAAGAGTGAATTTATTTGACTTTTCCATTGTGCTACGAGGTTTTCTTTTTAGAGACAGTATTTATACAACAGATATTTTTTAATTCTATAGATTTCCCCAGTTAGGGTTATATTTCGAGGAATAGAGTTTAAAATATTGTGCAAACATTTATGATATATTCACCTAATCTTATTTCAAATTTGTAAGTTAATTTATAGAAAAAAAATTGTTGCATGAAAATTCCAGAATTTATTAATTACATCCGATACGATTATGATTGTAATTTATTGTATTATATCAGAACTTTATGCGGGTGATGACGGCTCGCAACAACAGTAAGTCGGGGCGCGTGTCCGAGTTCTGTTACAAGTTGGGGCTAGAGGCTGGCGGACAAGAGACGATCCTTGGATACACCGCAATGGAAGGACTAGAGGTATAAATATACATAAGAAAAATGTGAAACTCTTAGTTTTATCCATAATAGGGGTTCAAACTACAGTTATGAAATAATTCATTGCTCCTTAAAAATACTTTTATTTGGATAGTAATTGTAAAATTGATAAAAGTTTGTGATTTTTATTATGTCATTTTACATTGTCTTTTGTCTTGTGAGTTTGAGTAATGATCTTCTATCCGGTACCTATAGGCGTGAGGTCTGGGAAAGACCCGATGAAACGGTGTTCCGCTTGGGAATTCCGTTGGCATGTTTTTCCAACAAAAAAAAAAAAACCGTCAATTGTTTGCCTTGCAAGATTGAAAACCGGTATTGAAAGCAGCTTGCAACTACAGGTCGGATCAGAGCCCCTAACCTACCCCATACCATCAAAACCCATACTTTGATACTCAGTTCAGTTTAAGCATTATACGACTTGAATATACTAAAAAAATATAAGGGTTTTGGGTATAATGTGTGATGTGCGTTTTATGCAGAACGCATTCCTGACCTACTTTCTCACAAGAAGTCAAGCTATAGAAATTTAATTCGGTTTTAACGTACGTATTCTCGGATTTTTATTCCACTGATAAAGTTTCGTCTTCATGGAAAGTGGCCAATGTTTACTTTGTCCCAAATTGGGTGGCTGAAAGTGCAGAACCGTCCCATTACAGATCTCCACAGGAATTTAATGTATGTTCAGTTTACGTTCTTTCAACTGTATAATGAAGAATATTTATACCTAGATATTTTTTGACACGGTGCCATCTTCCCACAATTATTATCGCAGTTTTGGACGTAGAATTGAATGTCACCACATCTTTTAAATACTTTTAATTACAGTATAGTATTGATGTAGTAGTTCTTCTTTTCATGCACAATCATGGGATCTTCCAATAGCAGCATGTACAAAATAAACGAGGCCGGCAAAACACCCTGTTTTTCCATGTGGATATTTGCCACCATTTATACCATTGTTCATTTGCCACGTTGTTGATATAAAAGTAACTATTACTCGAATTTATATCAGATGTTGACATTAAGATCATTTTGTTGTCAAACTATTACGGATTCAATAACAAATGAGAAATTATGCAAAATAAGTAAAAGTCCATATCATTTCAAATTTATTCAAAGGTTGTAGCATTTCTTTAGTTAAAGAGTTGGAAACATTTGGAAAAAATATTTACAACATTGAAATATTCAATAATATTGAAATAAATCGTGACTTTAATAACAAAAACTATTCAGGACTATTTTTCTGACGGTATACATCTTTTATTTATCTGTGATATTTCTAATTATAATTCTAGCCATTATTTAATGTTTCATTATAAGGCAGATCATTATTATTTATGATGGTTAGATAAGTTGAAGAATGGTGTCTATTTATAAAATATGTGGTATAATATAACTCAATTGAATTAAATGTACATTAATATGAAATATGATATCATCATCTAATGAATGGACATTATATTGCATTAGTTTAGTTGATTTTGAAATTCATTTATTGGTCCATTTTCCATAAAAAAATCTTCAAAGATATTAATTATTATGTACCAAATTACACGTAACTTACCAATTATTACATTATTTCCAGGTGCTCTTCAATCGATCAGGTGGTTGGATCGGATGGAAACCATCCAACTGTGGTCCAAATGCACGTATAACAGGCCCATATAATATTTCATCGTCTTTAATATCACTATGCGAGTTGAAGGAACAGGATCCTGATGTTGCGGTGTCCATTAAAGCTGCTCAATGGACGCTCTGCGTTATTTCCATTGTAGCCGCTGCTGTATTAATATATTTACTGGCTCCCTGTATTAAGGTATACTTAATTAGACCATTGCCAAGAACACAGCAAATCTCTTTATCCCAAACATCTCTAGTTGAAGAAGAGGCGTAAATGTGGATAAAGAAATCTATTTTATTAAAACCAAATTATGAGCGATATTTACCAAAAAAAAATTTTTTGGAAATTATTTTTTATAGATGTGATCTATTTTCGTTGGATAATTTTATAATGATCATGTACCTATACATACTTATTTCACTGATCTCGATTTCTTCTTAAAAAAATGTGATACTTTAGTTTTGTGATAATGCTTGTTTTTCAACGTATATTAAAAAAATACAAGAGTATTGATACTTTTAATTGGTAATTTTTTTTTATAAAACTCCAAAAACTAATGAGGTCTGATTTTAGTGCTTACTTTTGAATTTAAAAAAGTAGACGGATAAAATTTAAATTCAAGTTCTTTATTTATTTTTTATTTTCTTTATTTTTGCATTTCTTTGCTAATAAATTATACGTAATTTATTGTAAAAAAGCAATTATTAAATATTTTTTTTTACTTAATATGATTTCTTACTCTGCGTATAATTTTATATTTGCATTTCTTATATTGCGCAGGCGGGTGAATTTTATTCTTTATTGATTACTATCAATATGAATTAACGAAATAGTCATGATTGTTTTACGTTCCTATTGGCAATGTAATATTTATGTGTAACGGTTCTTTTTATTCGGAGCTTTTTTCCAAACGAGCCTTTTTTATAGTTTTATATGTAATAATGTTTACTTATAGTTTAGTACTGTAGGATTTTAATGGGCATTTTGTAATAAGTATAAATACTCTTTGAGAGTCACTAAAAGTATAAAAAGTCTTAAGGCACGATTTTCATATATTTTGTAATTTAACTTTTAAGTTGCACAAGTAAAAAAATCGGTCTTTATAAAATTCTTAGTATAAATTGCACAGTGTTTTTTTTGGAAGACTTTCGTGCTTATATAGTCTGAGACTACGTCATAGATTTAATTAAAATACTTAAGTTATATCCGGAAAACTGAATTGCTAATTATCTTATGAAGATCACTTATGAGATCATAATTTTAAGTTAAATAATTAAACATGTAAACAATTTTTTGTACCAGTTGTCACAAAATAGTGTAACCGAAATACTGAGCAAAAAATAATGGGCGTATTTTTTTTCATGATGACATATTTCTTTGATATTGACGAACAGCTCGAATGGTGTTTGAAATAAAATTTCTCGAAAAAAAAAAATTGTACTAGTATTAATTATTAAATAATCTGAAAAAAAAATCAAATAATGTTAATTAGATGAGTTAGTTTAGTGAATGTCTTTTATCTAAAACTATTTCTACTATCAATATCTGTCCATTTCATAAGGTATAATTTTCCATTTCATAATCATACTTTTGTGTTGATAGAAAAGAACATCCTTCTCAGAATAAATGATTATTTATTCTTTGAATCTTTAAAGAGTAGACGAAAGAAAATAGATGTTAATTAAAAACGTAGCGTTGTAAAAAAAAAAAATTCTTCATTAAATTAGTCATTTTCAATTTATTCATACATATCTAAGGGAAAAAATCTCATAATGCCATATATATTTTGTAGAAAGAATACTATCTTTATAAGAGTAACTGGCACTTAACAATTATTCTTCTAGCACATTTTTAAGATTAAATAGTGTAAATTACTTAAGCCGGATGAGTGTGTTTTACTTTTATTACTAAACTGTCATTAAAATATACACTTTTTTGAAACATTTTGAAACAAAATATGCAGTAAAATAACTGCAGTATTACTCTTTTGTGCTAAAACTATTTTATTTAAAACCCTAAGTTTATTTTTAATGTATTTTCAAGTGTGATAATTTTAATTTAAGTATTATTGTGTGCGTGAAATGTAGACAAATACTAAGGTATATTTAATTAAGAAAGTGAATTTTAATTGGTCATTGAATTGAAGAAAGAAATCATGATCTGTAATTTGTTTTTTTTTTTCATTTATTTAAAAAAAAAACAATTGTAACTTTCTTCTTGCCAGACTTATAAAAAATTGAGGCCAAAAAACTATGTTTTTTATTTAAGTATTGCCATTGAAAATTATAATTTATATATTGTTTGAGAATGGAGTGACCAATTAGGCAAAAGGGTTTAAAGATAAATTTGTCAAACAAGAAATTGTTATATTTACAATAAAGAATCAATGTCTCAAAACGGTTTTTTCTTTCACCTTTTCTTAAAAATCACTATACACCTTGTAAATACGTAAAATATGTTTAATTTTTCTACAAAAGTTTATGTTTAAATGTATTGAGTTAATACTAATCATAGTCATGAATATCACTACAGTTTTTAATCTTAGGCCCTACGCCTGAATGAGTTTCTTTTGTTAACTTTCTCAAAAAAAAAAAACTAGACACAATTGTCGTTCAGCATAACAAAATATACATAAAAACTATCATTGATAAGTAGGTAATTGGAAGGTTGCCTGGAAGAAATCGCTGCTTAGCGATAAGGCCGCCTGTTGCACCTCATGCATGTAATATACATATAACGAAAATGTAATTTCTTTAGTTTTAGTATGTTGTGCAATAAAGAATAAATAAATAAAAATAAATAATAGCTTTTTGGGTGTAAGTAATTAAATTAGTAATTTGTATAATTTATGTAAGGGGGTAATTATTCAAGTAATTGTAAGACCGTAGTTTTGTATATTGCAACTGACAAAGTTTGTGAGGTTAAATAAATTTTGTCGGTCAGTCAAGCAGAAACAGCGAGTCTTGATGAATCTACAGTAAAAAAAGCCAATGATGAATCTATAATAATAATAATAAGTATTCTTTATTGTACACCAAAGAATAAATAAATCATACAGTACAAAACTTGATCAAAATGTACAATTGGCGGCCTTATCGCTAACCAGCGATCTCTGCCAGGCAACCATGTTACAGAATAAAAAAAAAATGTTGCAGAGTAAAAAAAAAACATTTGAGGTGTACATATGTATAAGAGAGAAAAATATACTTTAAATATACGAAATTATACACATATATATAGTAAAACATATATATACTACAATCAATATACAATAATCTATATGTATAATTTATATATATATATATATATATATATATATATATATATATAATAAATTTTAAATATAAGCAAGATACATCGCAGAGTAGGAGCTTAGAATAAATAGAAAAATAAAAATCATAAATATTAAGGAAACAGGTAGACAAAATTTAAGGGGGGAAGAAGTTTGATTTTAATAGCCGTTTGAATATTGGTAGGGATTGAGCACGCCGTATGGTAAGTGGTAAGGAATTCCAGAGCCGTACAGCTTCCACAGAAAAGGATTTAGAATAGAAGGATGTATTGTGGGAGGGGATTTTTAAAATCAAGTTATCGTCAGACCGAAGAGAGCGACAATAAGAATCACTCAGGAATTCAAAGCGCTTTTTAAGGTATGAGGGAGAGGTAGGATTAAATAGGATATTGTATAATAGGGAAAGAATGTGAGTATTCCTGCGAAGGCGGATTGAGGGCCACTTGAGTTTTTCGCGAAATTATGAAACATGGTCATATTTACGAAGTCCAAATATGAACCGTATACAAAGATTCTGGATGCGTTCAAGTTTATTAAGCAATTCCTCACTTAAATTGTACAGTAAAAAAAGACATCACAAAATGATTGCTAACATTTTTTCCAATGTAGTATCGCGGGATCAACTAATATTTGTTGTATTGTGTATAAAATCACGTGACGCTGGCTATAATTAATGTTACTGCCGCCTTGGTTCATATAGCTTCTATTGTTTTAACATCCTTTATGCATTTTTCACTGAGCATTATTCTCAAGATCATGTGGACGAAGTCACTAGCAAAAAAATTTTAGACTATCGAAAAAAATATGAACATTATTTTTTTGTCTATTACTTAAGTTTTCATAGGTCTATCAAGACTTTCGATAGTATTGTTTCAAATATTTGGCTTAATCTATACTAATATTATAAAGCTGAAGAGTTTGTTTGTTTGTTTGTTTGTTTGTTTGTTTGTTTGTTTGTTTGAAAGCGCTAATCTCCGAAACTACTGGTTCGAATTGAATAATTCTTTTTCTGTTGGATAGTCCAGTTATCGAGGAAGGCTGTGGGCTATATAACATCACGCTACGACCAATAGGAGCAAAGATATAGTGGTAAATGTGTAAAAAACGGGAGAAATTATTTCATCTTTGAAGCCTTCCGTTGCGTGCGCCGTGAAAACGGTTCAAGATACATAAAAAATATGTACTAAAGAATAATAGCTCTTTTAATGATCTAAAAAACAGTCCGCGACAGTATATGTCTATCTTTTAAGATTAACTCATAAAAACCGTTTTTATGGTACCTAATTTGGTCGAAATAATTTGTTTAAGTTGTATCAACATAATAATATTAATCTTTATTCAAACAAACAAATAAATATGTTGTTGGTTAAGAGTACTTCATTGTAAAAAAAACATAGGTTTTATCCTGAAAATTCTACGGGAACTCGACCATTCCGAAAACCCCGCAAGAACGGGAACTATGTGGGAAGAACCAAAAATCTGCCGGAAGTCACTATTCCACGCAGACGAAGTCGCGGCAAAAGCTAGTAAAAGATATATGTATATTCTTTGCGACAAAAATGACAGTTAATTTAACAAGATAACTAAATAAGGCCTTATCACAACACGAGTTATTTATGTTCGACAAAAAATAAACAGACTCGTAAATTCTTGATAGTGCTGGTCTGCTAACAATCAATTTTCCACCACATGATCCTTGTGTAATAATATAACTAACCGCACTTTACGCATTGTCGCATATTGCAATTTTCGTTTTTTCACATGTAGGTACGGTAAAAATTTGACTGGTTTTGTTATTTTAGTTTTTTTTTTGATTTGTAGAATTCTTTGTGGTTTTTTCTTTAATCTCTTGTCCTTCTCTATATTTTTCCAATTACTATATTATAATAGTTTTATTCTGCTTTTTTCATTTAATGGTTTCTATCCTCTCTGAATGTTATCAGCTCCAGGATATTTGACTCTGGATATCTCAAAGAAATTA